GCCTCCTAGAAGTCTCTGTAAGGCTGCCCTCAAGCCAGTAAACTATGAGAAACTTCAGGAAATAATTCAGGACAGACAGGAAAATCCATCTGAGTTCCTAGAACACCTCCCAAAAGCCCTCTTATAGTATACTAACCTAGACCCTGAAAAACCCAGAGGGCAGACAATTCCTTATGACCTATTCTTTTCCCAGAGCTGCCCCAACATTAGGGCTAAGATTAGGTGTCCAGAGAGAGGTTCCCTAAGCCTACAGACAGAAGTCTTAGCACTGGCCTGTTGGGGAAGATTATTTTCAGGTGTGTGACTTTTGTTTACGCTGCATGTGTGTAACTCTGTGAAGCGGTGTTACCTGTGCCTGTCTAAAACCCCAAAGGTCCTAATAAAATGATGAGCGGCCAAAAGCAAGGCAGGAGCAAGGACAGGCAGGGCCAGCAGGCAGAGTATAAACAGAAGGAGAAATCTGGGAGGAGAGAGAACGAGGAGCAAGGGAACAGGGAGAAGAGGACATCAGGGTCCAGCCACCCAGCCACTCAGTCATCCACGGAGTAAGAAGATATACAAAAGTAAGAATGCTAAAAGCCCAGAGGGGAAAACTAGCTGGGATAATTTAAGAAAAGCAGGAAAGAAACAAGCCAAGGTAAGGCCAGGCTTACCTTAGTTATCTCATAACTAAGAATAAGCTAAGACCAAGCCTGCCTCTCTCTCTCTCTCTCTCTCTCTCTCTCTCTCTCTCTCTCTCTCTCTCTCTGTGTGTGTGTGTGTGTGTGTGTGTGTGTTAACAGCAGCCAATACAATAGATCCAGTCCCCAGCACCCATAGAGTAGCCCATGTATATCTGCCTCTTGTAAATCCTGTCAATTGTCAGACCCTATTTTCAGGTAACAAAACCTCTCTTTTTCTACCCACCAGGCCAGGTGCTCTCTCCCAGGGACTGACTGGCAACTTAATGTTACTACCCACATGCCCCTAGTTAGACAAGTCAAATATCTCCTGGTAATTTCATGGCAGATACATCCGCAGGGTGGACAGAAGCATCTCTGACCTCTAACCTGAGGGCTCAGACAGTCTCTGAGGTCCTTCTCCAGAAAATTATCCCCCGATTTGGAATTTCAATCTCTCTGCAGTCAGACAATGGTCCCGAGAGTTCTCCTCTCAGGTCTCTCAAGCCCTGTCGAAAGCGCTCAACATCCCTTGGCATTTTCGTATCTCATACCAACCCCAGCCCTCAGGAAAGGTAGAATGAACTAACTGCTCCTTTAAAAACAAACAAAAAACAAACAAACAAACAACAACAACAACAACAAAACATTCTTGTTAAATGTCACAGGAGCTTTACCCTGACTAAAACCTTGCCTCAGGATCTTTTCAGGCTCTGGGCTCTCCCCAAATGTCCCCTTTCCATTTTGCCCTTTGGACTTATGTATGGCTGGCCAGTTCTACCCCCTGGTCTCTCACCTTAACCCTCACCTCTCCCAGATCACCTACTTACACCCTTATTTTATCCCCTTCACTCCCTCCTGTGGAACTTTTCTGACTACACCCTACCTCGACTGTGTACCAACCCCTGTCCGTCTCCAGTCAACACCGGAGATCGGGTCCTTCTCTCTCCTCCAGATCAACGCCCCTCATCCCTTTCTTCTAAGTGGAAGGGCCGCTTCCAAGTAATTCTTGTAACTCCAACAGCAGCTAAGTTCGAAGGCCTTCCTTACTGGATTCACTTATCTGGTCTCAAGCCCTTTACCCCTCCACCTCAAGATAATCCTCCTTCATACACAGCGACTCCAACAGGACCCTGTTCCTTTCAGCTTCAGAGGACACTGAGAGCAACTGAAATTGGTGTCTCCAATATCAGAAGAATGAGGCTTCACCCCACAACTTCCTCTGCTGGACTGGAGCCCCATAGGCTTTCCTTCCTGACACCTCTTCCTCCCCTTCCAGGCTGATCCACATCCTCCTGTTTCTACTAATTAAACCCTCCTCTCTATGTATCACCAATGACTTATTCCAAACTCCTAATCAAACCCATGAGCTGTGATTACAGGACTACCAGCCTTTAGCCACGGAACTGGTAGCGCAAAGACCATCAAGCACGCCCAGGTACCCTCAGGAATCAACCACCCGTCTTTCCTAAGTGTTAAAGGTGACATCATGAAGATGCGGAAGGAAGGGGTGTTTTAAGGTTTGCTTGTAAGAAGCTAGAAGCTAAAAGCTAAAAGTCGACGTGGACTCACTTCAGACAGGGCAGTTACCCACCTCCCTCGATTGCTAGAACCTAAGAAATTTTTTTTTCTTCCTAAATTTAACTTTATCTTCCGCTCTGACAGCATCTCGCCAGATCCAAGAAACATGGGACGGTGCCACATAGCCTGGGACAGCAGTAAAAGGACCAGCTACCACACCCCAGCTTTCTCAGGTTCCCTAAAGATGATCGCCGCTGCCCCCCAAGTCAGCTGGAAGCAGTCTTGAGAAGTCAGTGCCCCGTTTCCCTGCCCTACCTGGCACCCCCTTTAATTCCTCACCTTTAAAAAATTAAAAAAAAAAAAAAAAAAAGGTGGGAAATGTTAGGATTCCAGCATTATACTGACCCCGCCCCCTGGCAGCCCACCGTCAGGCAAACACATAGCGAGCCCAGGGGCCCTTCGACCCTATGTCACTACTTCATGTGTTGCGTGGCTGTGTCATGCGTCGAGGGGCTGTATAAGGCTCTGTACACATGCACAAGCTTTCCCTTTTAAGTAAGCTCCGCCCTCCCGTTCCTTCTCCTCACTTCCTCCTCTCAGTCGACCTGCACAGTGCCCGCCCCCTCTCCCGCCCCCTCCCCCCCCCCGTTGCCTAATAAACTTCCACGTGGGTTTGTTGAGCTCTGTGGTTCATTCCTCGCTGCCGCTGCCACACACCAGAGTTCATGGCATCACCGTTCTTAGCAGCCCAAAGTGGAGACAATATTCGTCAAACTGATGAAGAATTCAAAACAAAACAGGACAGAACTCAGGGGCGAAGCTCAGTTGGTTGAATGTCTGCCTGGCATTCATGAGACCCTTGGTTGAGTGTCCAGCATTTCTTAGCCCAGGCATGGCCGTATTTGTAATCTTCTGAACTGGGAAAGCAAAGCAGGAAGAATGGGAATTCAAGGTTCTCTCCTAAACTACCCAGCAAGTTGGAAACATCTCCCTCTCTCCTCTCTCATTCTCTGCCTCTCCCTCCTCCCTCATTCTCTGCCCTTCCCTCCTCCCTCTCAAAAGTAAAAGTGTTATTCAGTAAGAGGGAGAGAAGAGCTAACACGTGCTACAATGTGAATGGACCTTGAAAAATACCACGGGGGGGGGGTGGACGACGAAAGAAACTAGCTGCAAATGTCCACTTATTAATGATTACACTATGTGCCCCCTGTAGGCATTTGTGCCACCAAGCAGAGTTCCCCTGTGGCTTCTGCTTCCCCCGAAGTCAGGGCAGGAACTATATATAAACTGTAAGCTGAGATAAACCTTTTCCTCCCCAAGTTGCTTTTGGTCATGGTCTATCAATAGAAAGCAAGCCAGGATAGATATGATCTCCTTATGAAACCGTGGAAATATTATAAAGTGGAGAGTGAGGGTAGGGCTGATTTCTCAATGTACAAAGTGAAAACGGAGGGTCATTTGTTCAAAATGAGTTCTGAGAACACGAGTCCCATCCCTGAGATCCACACAGAGGAAGGAGAGCACCAATTCCTGCAAGCTGTCCTCTGGCTTCTCGGTAGACGCTATTGAACTTGGCTGTGTAAAGGTACACAGAACAAACAATGAAGGAAATAGAAGTTTAACGCTTTCGCCGAACATCAAATCAAAATAGGGCCTTCTAAACATGGGGACTGTTACGCACAGGCCTGTTTGCAGGGAGCCAGGAAGGACGATTTGGCTCTGGTCTCCTTCCAGTAATGCTCGCTGGATAGGCTAACACATTCATTCTTTCCCGCAATGAATGACATGAAGGGACATGATGCCGATTGATGGTGAAGTCAAATGGTGACTGTTTGTACCTTTGAGGACTAATCACAGGTCAGGAATTTCCTGTATCTGGTGTCTTCTGCTTTTATGGTGCCTGTTGGCTTTCTGTGTTCTCTGGGTATTATTGACCCAGGCCAGAAAGATAATTTCTGATCAAATATCATATAGTATGTCTCCTAAGTGCCAAAGATAAAGAATGACCTCTTTAAAGCTAAGGTACAGTGGATGAGTACTTGTGGATGCCTCGGCGTCCATCTCCAACACACACACACACACACACACACACACACACACCCCTTTAACTTCCTGCTCTCTGAAACTCTTCTCTGAGTTCCTCGGGTCTTATTAATATGTCAGTACTCCGTGAAATGCTTACAGCTAGACATCTGGGTGTGTGGATGGTTCTAGAGGCGACTCAGCCGTGGTGCGCGCTTGAATATGCGTTTTATTTAATGAGCTGCGTTCTGGTGCAGTTATGCTTTCTCTGATAAAAGCGATTTCTAGTTTAGTTGGTGAGCACAGTGTCTTTAATCAGATATTTTCGTCTGCCAGGGGAAGAGCCTTCGCTCTTTTCTGAAGGCAATGAGAAATGTTTGAAAGCAAGTTCAGCAACACAGAGCGAGCTCTAAAAGGACACCAAGCTCTCTCCTTGACATCAAATGCATTTCATCCGCTTGATTCTCAAAGAACACTAAAGTTACTTTTTCTTTCTTTCTTTCTTTCTTTTTTTTTTTTCTGAACTAGGGTCTGGCTACATAGTCCAGGGTGGCTTGCAAATGGCGACCACCGTTCCCCTGACTCAGCTTTCTGAGTGCTGGGATCACAGGAGGGCACCATCAGATCCGGTTTGAATTTACCTTTTCATTTAAAAATTATTAAAATCCCGCAAAACTCCTTCAGATGAATCTCTGCTGCTTGGCCAAACTTGGGTGACGGACTGGGCATTTCCCAAGACGGCCTCTAGGGAGCCAAGTCGTTTACCCTTTCCGTGCTCCGGCTACTGAGTAGCTCAACTCTCTCCGCCTTCGCTTTGGCTCCTCCCCTGCACCTCCTTCCACTCTAGTCCCCGCCCCCTAGCCAGACCCCGCCCCATCCGCGCCCGGAGCCCGGGCCCCGCCCCGGCTCCGCCCTTCGCGCGCCCTCATTTCCTCCCTCTCCTGTTTTGCCCCGCCCACAAGCGTAGCGCGGCGGAAACGCGAGCCGCGGGCCGCTCTGGCCCGTCCGGAGGACTCCTCGTCGGTGCCCGCGGCTCTCGTGGGCTCGGGTCGGCGGTGGGCGGGTCCGCCGTGCAGTCCGCTGTCGTCGTCGCCGCCGCCGTCTGCTTCGGCGCTGCGTTTTTAGGCCATGGGGCAGCAGGACGTGTGGCGGCTCCTGTCGAGGTGAGTCAGCGAGCGAGCCAGCTGCTGAGGGCCGGCTCGCCTCGCCCGTGTCCACGGCAGGCCTCGCCGACGGGGCGCCCTTCCCGCCGGCCCGCGCCGTCCGCCGCCGCAGGTGCCCCCCGACTTTGCTCTTTCTAGCGCCTAATCTTTGCAAACACAGCTTCATTTTCCGTCAGCCGTGACCTCGCACGACTTTACCACCACCCCCCACCCCTTGACTCCTACTTATTTACTTTCTTGGAGCCGGGTGCAGTTTGGGGACGTGCTACCTAATTTACTGTATGTCACACAGGTGTGACTGTTGAGCGCCTGGGCTGCCGATAGATGAAGAACTTGGTTAGCAGCTGTGCAGCCAGCTGCAGCGGCAGCGCGGGTGTTGGGAATCAGCAGAAGAGCGTCGTCGCCCTAGAACGCGTTTGGTCGGAGCACGCGTCCAAACATTTAACTTTTCGTTTTGTTTTGCTTTCCGAGAGAGGGTTTCTCTGTAGCTTGGAAGCCTGCCCTGGAACTCGCTCTGTAGACCAGGCTGGACTCGAACTCACAGAGATTGCCTGCCTCTGCCCCCCTCCCCACCCCCCGATTAAAGGCGTGCACCACCACTGCTCGGCCAAATGTTAACTTTGTAAAGGTGCCTGTCACCGCAACCCCAGCTCGGCAGAACTGTGGTAGCACTCATCCTAGGAGTTCTGCCGTGTGCAATGCTTTGCCCCCGGTACCATACCCAAAAGCTTTAACTGTCCCCGTGAACTCCTTCGCAGAAGTCCTTTTGGGGGGCGGGTGGCCGAGATGTTTACTGTTAGCCGTCCGTGCGGTCTAGGAGCGCCTGGACAGTGGAACTCGCCTTTGTTCCGCTGCAAGTCCCTCATGCCTCATGTTTCGTCAGGTTCCTGCAGAGGGATGGGAATGTTTCTTTGGTCTAAATGAATATAGTTACCGGTGCCGCTAGAGAGACAACTCAGCGGTTTAAGAGCCTGCCCTGCCCTTGACGGACAGGCTCAGAGGATTGGGGTTCTGTCCCCTGTGTGGCTCCTAACTACCTGTAACGCCAGCGCCAAGGAATCTGACAGTCTCTTCTCATGGGACACCTGTTCTCACATGGGCACACACAGATATACATGTAATTAAAAATAAATCTTAAGACTAGTGCTGTTTCGGGGAAAGCGCCTAAAATTGTATCCAGTGATGCCGTTCTCAAGTTATCTGTTACACACCAAAGAGTTGCCTTGCTTCTCTCTCTCTCTCTCTCTCTCTCTTTTTTTTCCTGTCTTGTGTGATAAATACTAACAACTGAGCCTGTATTCGTTGTTGGTGCTTTCTTGATGACAGCAAATTCTAACTTGCTTGGGAACCATGTTGCAAAGACACGTGTATTAGCAAAGTTAGCTTCAAGTTGAAAGATTCTGTCATTACCTAGGTGAGCTTGCCTGCTACACACACACACACACACACACACACACACACACACACACACACACACACACACGCACGCACGCACTCGCTCAAGTGACTAGGTGCGCGGGGCTCTGAGAGCCTGTCTGGAAGGAAAAGGGCCTGTGTGGCTTAGTTGATGAAACTGGCCGATGCCATTGGACTTTGGCCTCACTTTGCTCCTGCAGTCTGTTTTCCCACAGCAAGGGCCAATTTGGCTCTTGGGCGGTGTTCTTTGCCCCCACATCGTTTCTTTGAAGACAACTCTCCAACGTATTGTATAACCCGATTCACTCCGAGCCCTAGGCTGCATGCCTCGATTGCACCGCGCACGTATGCAGTTGTGTGTGCCCTAGATTTCCGAAGGGTGTTTGTCGCTAGTTTCTTGTTTGTGTGTGTGCGTCAGCAGGCTGAGGGATGAGTACGACATACATGGGACCGTTCGGAACACTGCTTTTGTTGCTCCTCTCCCTGCCCTCCTCCCCTGGCCGCCCGTCTCCCTCCTTCACTCCTCCAGCTCTCCTGCTTTCATGCCATTTTGTTCTCTCATTGCCACCTGTCTGTCCCCGTGGCCCTTTATAACCTACTACATACATACATACATACATATATATATCCATATATGAGAGAAAACATGCCGTATTTGCTGAGTCTGGGACACTGCCTGACACAGTTTGCTGGCTAGTTTTTATGTCAGCTGACACTGGTTGTAATCACCCCAGAAGAAGGCGGAGCCTCAGTC